ACCGACCCACGTGACTACTGACCCACAAGACTACTGACCCACGGGACCACCGACCCACGTGACTACTGACCCACAAGACTACTGACCCTAAAGACCACTGTCCTACAGGACTACTGACCCACAAGACTACTGACCCACGGGACCACCGACCCACGTGACTACTGACCCACAAGACTACTGACCCACAAGACTACTGACCCACAAGACTACCGACCCACGAGACCACTGACCCACAGGACCACTGACCTACAAGACCACTGACCCACAGGACCACTGACCCACAAGACTACTGACCCACAGAACTACCGACCAGTTTCGTTTCATTTTCACAGATTTCCATGAGATCATTGTGGGGTCAGAGGTCGTGACCTCTGGTCTGAACAGTGACCCACCTCCTGGGGGTCACTATGGGAACCCTCCAGCCCTTGATCTGACCCAGCTCGGTGTCGGACACCTGGACGAGCAGCGGGAGCTGAGGCCTCCACACCGTGACCTCCAGCTGAGCCGACAGGAAGCTGGAGCTAAAGGTCACCGCCGTCTTCAGGCCGCCGCGGGTCTCTGTGCCGTCCACGAACACGTAGTCACAGCGGTCCGACACCTGGGGGGAGACGGGACGGGACGGGGGGTTACTGTACCAGGACTGTTGTATCTAACGTTAGCTCTGGTGTCAGTACCAGGACTGTCGTAGCTAATGTTAGCTCTGGTGTCTGTACTGGGACTGTCGTAGCTAACGTTAGCTCTGGTGACTGTACCGGGACTGTAGTAGCTAACGTTAGCTCTGGGGTCTGTACCAGGACTGTTGTATCTAACGTTAGCTCTGGTGTCTGTATCAGGACTGTTTTAGCTAACGTTAGCTCTGGGGTCTGTACCGGGACTGTCGTAGCTAACGTTAGCTCTGGCGTCTGTCCCAGGACTGTCGTAGCTAATGTTAGCTCTGGTGTCTGTATCAGGACTGTTTTAGCTAACGTTAGCTCTGGTGTCAGTACAGGGAACTGTTTTAGCTAACGTTAGCTCTGGCGTCTGTACCAGGACTGTCGGAGCTAACGTTAGCTCTGGTGACTGTACCGGGACTGTAGTAGCTAACGTTAGCTCTGGCGTCTGTACCAGGACTGTCGTAGCTAACGTTAGCTCCGGTGTCTGTACCAGGACTGTTGTATCTAACGTTAGCTCTGGTGTCTGTCCCAGGACTGTCGTAGCTAACGTTAGCTCCGGTGTCTGTACCAGGACTGTTGTATCTAACGTTAGCTCTGGTGTCTGTACTGGGACTGTCGTAGCTAACGTTAGCTCTGGGGTCTGTACCGGGACTGTCGTAGCTAACGTTAGCTCTGGGGTCTGTACCAGGACTGTTGTATCTAACGTTAGCTCTGGTGTCTGTACCAGGACTGTCGGAGCTAACGTTAGCTCTGGTGTCTGTATCAGGACTGTTTTAGCTAACGTTAGCTCTGGGGTCTGTACCGGGACTGTCGTAGCTAACGTTAGCTCTGGCGTCTGTACCAGGACTGTCGGAGCTAACGTTAGCTCTGGTGACTGTACCGGGACTGTAGTAGCTAACGTTAGCTCTGGTGACTGTACCGGGACTGTAGTAGCTAACGTTAGCTCTGGCGTCTGTCCCAGGACTGTCGTAGCTAACGTTAGCTCCGGTGTCTGTACCAGGACTGTGGTAGCTAACGTTAGCTCTGGGGTCTGTACCGGGACTGTCGTAGCTAACGTTAGCTCTGGCGTCTGTCCCAGGACTGTCGTAGCTAATGTTAGCTCTGGTGTCTGTACTGGGACTGTCGTAGCTAACGTTAGCTCCGGTGTCTGTACCAGGACTGTGGTAGCTAACGTTAGCTCTGGGGTCTGTACCAGGACTGTCGGAGCTAACGTTAGCTCTGGTGACTGTACCGGGACTGTAGTAGCTAACGTTAGCTCGGGTGTCTGTACCAGGACTGTGGTAGCTAACGTTAGCTCTGGCGTCTGTCCCAGGACTGTCGTAGCTAACGTTAGCTCTGGTGTCTGACCAGGACTGTCGGAGCTAACGTTAGCTCTGGTGTCAGTACCAGGACTGTCGTAGCTAACGTTAGCTCTGGCGTCTGTACCAGGACTGTCGGAGCTAACGTTAGCTCTGGTGACTGTACCGGGACTGTAGTAGCTAACGTTAGCTCGGGTGTCTGTACCAGGACTGTCGTAGCTAATGTTAGCTCTGGTGTCTGTATCAGGACTGTTTTAGCTAACGTTAGCTCTGGCGTCTGTCCCAGGACTGTCGTAGCTAATGTTAGCTCTGGTGTCTGTATCAGGACTGTTTTAGCTAACGTTAGCTCTGGGGTCTGTACCGGGACTGTCGTAGCTAACGTTAGCTCTGGTGTCTGGACCAGGGCTGTTGTAGCTAACGTTAGCTCCGGTGTCTGTACCAGGACTGTTGTATCTAACGTTAGCTCTGGTGTCTGTCCCGGGACTGTCGTAGCTAACGTTAGCTCTGGGGTCTGTACCAGGACTGTCGGAGCTAACGTTAGCTCTGGTGTCAGTACAGGGAACTGTTTTAGCTAACGTTAGCTCTGGTGTCTGACCAGGACTGTCGGAGCTAACGTTAGCTCTGGTGTCAGTACCAGGACTGTCGTAGCTAACGTTAGCTCCGGTGTCTGTACCAGGACTGTTGTATCTAACGTTAGCTCTGGTGTCAGTACAGGGAACTGTTTTAGCTAACGTTAGCTCTGGTGTCTGTCCCGGGACTGTCGTAGCTAACGTTAGCTCCGGTGTCTGTACCAGGACTGTGGTAGCTAACGTTAGCTCTGGTGTCAGATGACGTTCCTACCTTGAGAACGTCCTCATCGGCGGAGCTACAGTCGGCGTATTCCGTGACATCGGTGACGGCTCCGCCTTCGTCCACTGCCACCACCCTCACGGGCATCACCACCTTCTTCCCAGTCAGGACCGCGGTGTTCAGGATCTCTGTATCCTGGGGGGGGAGAAGAACCGATTCCTGGACCAGTTAAGTCAAAGACACCAACAGTTCCAGTTCCTGCGTCAGTTCACTCACCACCACAAGAGGCGCCAGACCGACAAAGTCCCTCTGAGTGATGTAAAGCCTCATGGGTCCCTCCGTCCTGGTACCGTTCCTGGTACCGTTCCTGGTACCGTTGGGCAGCTCCAGTTTCCACAGGATGACTTGATGGTCCAGAGGGAACCTGGGTTCCTGGACCAGGAAGTCCATCTGAAGAACCTCCTGCAGACCAGCGTCCAGCCTGGACCAGAGGTCACAGGTGGAGGTCAGCAGGTCAGGTCAGGTCAACAGGTCAGGTCAACTCCAACAACAACAACACAGTGGTCGAGGGTGGAGCACTTACCTCCGTCCACCTGTAGGGGTCCTCCTCTGACAAATCAGACTGACCTCCTCTGGACCAGTGACCGCGGTGATGGTCCACAGGGGGGCGTTAGCGGCCGCCGCCGCTCTGACGAAGGTCAGGCCTCGTCCCACCGACGCTCTGGGGATAAACGTAAAAAAAAAAAACCATCCCATAATATTAAAAAAAAATGACGTCCACCAGGGGTCGCCTGACACAACCCCAACCCCGACCTGGGATTGTGGACTGGTTGGAATCGAACCCAGAACCTTTTCTCATGAGGGCTGGAAACCTTACCACTGCTCCTCTGTATCGTCGGAGACGCAGCAGCCAGTTAGCTTAAAAGTGCACGAACGGATCGTCAGTGTTTCAAGATTATGTTGTCGTCGCTGGATTAGACCGGATTAGACCGGTCGGCCATTAAATACGTTAACATCCAATCACACGTTCAAGGTCCTGGGTTGGCCTCCAGGGGGAGCTATGTGACGAAGGAACTCTGGTGTCTGGACCAGGACTGTCGTAGCTAACGTTAGCTCTGGGGTCTGTACCAGGACTGTTGTAGCTAACGTTAGCTCTGGGGTCTGTACCAGGACTGTTGTAGCTAACGTTAGCTCTGGTCTCTGTACCAGGACTGGCGTAGCTAACGTTAGCTCTGGTGTCTGAACCAGGACTGTTGTAGCTAACGTTAGCTCTGGTCTCTGTACCAGGACTGTTGTAGCTAACGTTAGCTCTGGGGTCTGTACCAGGACTGTTGTAGCTAACGTTAGCTCTGGTGTCTGTCCCAGGACTGTCGTAGCTAACGTTAGCTCTGGGGTCTGTACCAGGACTGTTGTAGCTAACGTTAGCTCTGGGGTCTGTACCAGGACTGTTGTAGCTAACGTTAGCTCTGGGGTCTGTACCAGGACTGTTGTAGCTAACGTTAGCTCTGGGGTCTGTACCAGGACTGTTGTAGCTAACGTTAGCTCTGGTGTCTGTACGAGGACTGTTGTAGCTAACGTTAGCTCTGGGGTCTGTACCAGGACTGTTGTAGCTAACGTTAGCTCTGGTGTCTGTCCCAGGACTGTCGTAGCTAACGTTAGCTCTGGACTCGTTCCTCACCTGAGTGTGAAGTTCTTCAGCCGAACAGCTCCAGTCATGAGGACGTCGAAGGTCGCCACGTCGTCCGTCTTCAGCGGTTTGGAGGACGTCCGTATGACGACGGCGTTGCCGAGTTTCAGCCTGGACAGCGTTGCCGTTCCTTTGGGCACCTGCAGGAGGCGCACGCTGCTGATCCTCTGCATGGACATGACGGGAACGTACGAGAAGCTCCACCCACTGTCGTTGACCTCCTGACACCTCCCGTTGACCTTCGGCCTGGCCTGGTAGTACAGTTCCACCGAGTTCCCAGCAGGGGGCTCCTGTCTGCCCCCTGTGGGCCCTGGAACGAACCACGACGGCGCCGGCACCATCTCGGCGGTGCAGGTTCCCCGTTGGCCTCCCACGGCGCAGGAACCCCTGACCTCCTGGGTCTGCCAGAAGGCGTGGACGGTGACACACGGGAGCTCGTCCCCGTCCCCGTCCCCTCGGTCCCAGTCCCTCCCGGCCACGTAGAACAGCACCCTGACCCTGGGTCTGGAGGAGGACACCCGCGGGGTCAGCACGAAGGCGTGGATCTTCCAGCC